AGAGAGAGAGAGAGAGAGAGAGAGAGAGAGAGAGAGAGAGAGAGAGAGAGAGAGAGAGAGAGAGAGAGAGAGAGAGAATACTAAAAACAGAACACAACATAAAAAACAATACTGGCAGAAAATAAACCAATAGCCATACAGGGCAAATAAAAAGCGAAAAAGCAAACTAATAAGTAAGTAGAACCTACACGGGGCACCTTGTAAAGAAAAGCGCGGGGGGGCAGAGAATTTGGAGAGACAAGACAAGGAGACGAAAGCAAAAAAAAATCCAGAAAGAGACAGGGAAATATAAAATAAGCTTACTAAATAATACCATGATTCATAACAGTGAATCAATGAATCTAGTATACTAGTCTATTAATATTTATAGAAGGGTTTGTTTGTTGTTTGTTTTGTTTGTTGTTCATTTTGTTTGGGGGGTGGGGGGGAGGGGGGGGGTGTATTAACAAGATTTTCAGTTGCCTCAGTTTTTTTATTCTTGACACAGTAAAATCTTTTTCTGCACCTCTTCCCCCTAAATGGTTAATGCCACAATGACAGGCAAACTCCTTCCCAGCCTCCGTCTTGTATGTCTTTTTTGTAAAGAGAAACGCACTGACAAAATAAGTCATTGAGAGGAGGGAAAAGGTCAGGTAAGACACAGACAGAAACAACAGAGGGCAGCTCTGAGAGGAAAAAACAATCAAGAATCTGGTTAATAAGTTAGCCTTCCTCAAGGAAAAGACCGGATCCTCAAAATAATGATGGGACTGGAGAGCAAGACAAACAACAGATCGACAGACACAACTAACACCAAAAAAAAAAAAAGTACCATGAGAAGCAAGAGCTACCCTCCAACACATTATGTCCAAATTGTACATTTTTGTAAGGTTGTTAACGGCTCCCAGGACACTACACGGCAGGAAAGAAGTTACTGTGTATAAAAATAAGTACACAATAGAAAATAGCTGCCTCACCAAAACTGTTAATTTCTTTTTTACCTTTTATGTGCTTTAACAAAACGAACATTTTGATAATCAAGAACACCCCTACAGTGCATGTCCATGTAACAAGAGAATGATGGTGTCATCTACATAGAGACATAAATGACAATATCTTACAAAGGGGTAAATCTTACCATCTTCTGCATTTCCTTCAGTTTGCATGTCTTCCACTTCGCCATCATAAGACTCCACCGAAACACTATTCACAAGTCGAGGACCTAGGTCCTCACAAGTTTCTGAGTTTTCCACTAAGCTCTCCCCGGCACCAACGGCCATGCCTTCTGCCACACACGGTGCTGGATTTTCAGAAGAAGCACCGTTGTCTTTGTTAGGGCTGGCCGACATTTGCTCTCCTTCCCCACCTCTTCCCACAAATTCTGACTCCATGCTGGAAGAATCACGGCAGAATTGAGAGGCATGTCCATTGCAAAGGGGTTCGGAGGCTGAAGTGGCAGGATTGGCCGCATTGCTGGCATTGTTGTTCTCTTTACTATTACCCGACGTGCTGCTATTGTTTTTCACAGATGCCTTGCACTTTTCTTCATCGTTGCTATCGCTGGCCACATTAAGCTTGGCGATGGCTGCAGTATGGCCCTCTGACCCCGAAGACTTGTTGAGATTGGAAGCATCATCATCATCATTGCTGTTGTCATTTGAAGCGTTGATTTCTGCGGCATTTTCCTCTTTCATTGAGGCAGTGGCTTCATTTTCATTGTTCTCTGCGGCTTCAGAACTTGGCAGCACACTTGACTGATGTTTGTTCTCTGTGAATACAAATTATCATGGTTACACCGAGGATAGGGGGAAAAAAAAAAATCCTCAAAATATGATCCACCACTTAGTCCAGTTTAGCTCCAGAGAAGATATTTGATGGCTGGATGCACAACTCTAACAAACGCTATTTTGCAATTTGTCATTTGTTGGAGTGTTGCACCCAGCCATTGATATAATATTAAAAAATGAAAAAAGACCGAAACCTTCACCTACAATGTGGCATATCAATCCAGGGCACAATCTTGAAAGCAGTCAGATTAAAACAACAAGAAAAAATATCCTCTATAAAATGAACAGTCATCTGTGCACAATCCACTTTTCAGATATAAAATTTCAAACCTAATCTTGCAACAATAACATTTTACTTTCAACTAAAAGGAACTCGACGTTGACATACATTTCCTACAGAGCACCTAATACAAATGGTGTGATGAGAGCATAACCATATATGTATCTTCTCACATGGACTGACACTTCATGCAAAAAAGTATTGGAGTCCATAGTCTACTGATTTAGGCTACCAGACTCATAATCATTAAATTGCTGTCTCAGAAACTCAAGTCTCGTCCCCAACATTGTGTCCTCGGGAAAGGCACTTTATACAAATTTTCCCATCTGGTTTGATCCTATCGGAGATGGACGTTCGAATTCAGAGGTCCCTCCTCTTAATACAGGGGTACCTAGAAGTTCCTCACATTTTTTGCCTAAAAAATTGCAGTAAAATGACGATAGCCACACATTCCTTGGTGTCATGTATATTTATTAAGGAAAGAATATATGAATCAGAATATATAAGAATAACTGTGTATATCGTTTTCGTTAATCTTGCTTGTTTGCATCAACTGTGATGAAATATTCAAAGGTTAATCAAATAAGGTAAAAACAAGATGCAGGAAACAATTACTCTCTACAAACAAAAGAGTAGCTTTGTGATGTAGATTTACAGATCTTCCAAAATACCAGTCAGACAAGTGTATTACATATTAATGATTAATGCCCCCCAGACAATTCTATCTATAGAAATACCTAAATGTCAATACAAACACTAGTGGCAACAAAGTGATACAAGAGCCAATCACTTTAATTCACCCGGGTATCTCAATGTAAAGGGCAAGAAGGATCATCCACTTCACAAAGCACTTCATGACAACAGGAGAGTCAGAATCAAGAGAGGAAAATCTTGGATGGCGGAAGCAGAGGATTCCCTGAGAACAATCTGTGTACCTGAGAGCCTACCACTAGGCGAAGAATGGGAGCAGGTGGCCGGAGAATACAGGGACCTCACCAAGGTCAAAATAAGCATGGGCAGAGACAGAAGAAATGTTGCGGCTGCCATCAACGAGAGCGATATCAACGAGATTGTTGACACAAACTCAAAAGCAGGGGATCCTATAATTTATACAGATGGTTCAGTGAAAAGAGATAGCCAGAGAAGTGGATGGGGATTTGTTGCATTCGCCAACAATAAAATCATACACAGTGCATCTGGAGCCTGCAGCAGGGCTACATCAAGTATGCGAATGGAAATTGAAGCCATCACGAAAGCACTTGATTGGATGACCCAAGATCGCCCCCACACAACCCATGCTGTTCTTATCACTGATTCCATGTGTACCCTCAGAAGGATCGAAAAAAGTTTCCTGAGAACAAAATGGATTCAAGCTATCGAACCAACGCCTATACGATCGCTCACATGGATTTTCTGCCCTTGCCATGCAGGTGTTAGGGGAAATGAAAAAGCCGACAGATTGGCTGGTGAGGCCACCTTAGTTGACAATACGGTTCAACCAGATAGGGTCGAGATCCTGAAATGTCTTTCTCGCCAACTGATTGAGGAGGAAGATAGGGAGGCAGAGGCCAGTACTGCCATGGAGAGGATGATGCTTTTGGGAATAAAAAAAGGAAGCGGAAAATCTGGCATCCTTGCAGGAAAGAACAGAAGAACGTTCAACCAGATGTGCACTGGCACAATCAGTAGAAGGACCCTCGGCAACATTTTGGAGAGAGCAACGGAGCATCAATGGACATGTCCGGAGTGCAGGGATGTTGCTTCCTGAAACAAGAACAAGAACAAGGGTAAAAATTAACCTTCTCTCTTTTTAAGTCTTGTTTTCCTGACTCCCCAAGTCCCCACAAGCATTTGAAACATCTACACAGTACTGTCATGCCAAGGTAGAGCGACCCATCTGCACTTTTTATGATTTTGAGTTGTGTCGCGCTGCCATTGGAAATACCGGCATGGCCTTTCAGCGACGTCCGTTGGCCATAGTGAAATATCCTATTTGTAGGGCAGATACATCTTCCTGCCTTTGACACAAGATGCAGAATGGGCATAGGCCTCCATTTAAACAAAGATGCAAAAATTATCACAAAAATTGACAATTTTTGCAGATACGTCGGTTTGCCTTAGCATGGCAGAGTACTTCAAATTCATTTGCAATAAACTTTAGAGTGTGGAAAATTTCTAGAAGTGCATAGATTGGTCAAGAAGACAACAAAAACCTGGTGTATTGTTCTCTCCCTCTAGGCTAGCAGCAGCATCATGCTTCCCGTTGCGCAGCTTTGTGTCATGATCACCCCCAGCACCAGAGTTGTTCACCAATCCAGGTTTGCTGCTGGCTCCTGACTCTGCTTCCAGATTCTGCAGACTGTTGGTGCTGTCACTCATAATCATGCTCGAACAATCTTGCTGCAATAGAAACCCGATGTGTGGCAAGTTTTAAATTTTTTTTAAAAAATTTTCATCATGAACTATACGGAGATGAACACAACTCTCATAATCGTGGTTTTCTTTTTTTCAGGCAAAATTCAAAGCTAGTGGCAAGTTTTAAGTGCCTAACAAAACACGTGTCTCATTAGGGAGGATTGCTTGCGGTATCTTCACCCATCGCACTTCATTTGGCAGTGTGAGGCAATTCTGATGGTTTAAAAGCGAAAGGGCTAAAGTATTAGTTGTAAAATGTCTATGGTAAGTACTCACGTTGAGAAAGATTCTCATTCTTTTGAAAATACAAACAAACAAAAAATCATTCTTTCCTTTTTTTTCCTAAGGCCCCAAACTGGAGAGAAAATCCAAATATCACACCTTGACCATCAATTGTACATAGGCATTTTACCCAGATAATCTCGTCTTTTACCTGCTTTCTGAGCACTCCATATTAACAAAACCAGATCAAATGTGATCAAAACCTCATGTGTTTTCACAACTACCACATATTTACTTCATGTTACATCTAATATTTTACTTTGGAATATAGGATTACAGCATACTGCAGTTACAGTAGTGACAGCATCTGTTTAAAATCTTTGCAATATGGGAATTGTTCATACTATCTGAACAAAGACAAAACTAAGCAGGTTCCTAATATCACTTTAGCCCATTGTTGAGTTCCACAACAGTTCTGCATTTTTCAAATAACAATGTGGCATTTCATTTACAGGTAAAAATCTTTTTCTGGGAGGACAAGACTTACCGATTTCCTTTTCTCTCTGTCTAGTTCTTCCAGTTGTTGCATTTGCATCTGTATAAGCTGCTCCTGTTTCTTTTGTTTCTTTTTCATTTTCTTTTTCTTGTTTTTTGACATTTTGGACATGTCTGGTGGCTTTTCTTTAGGCGCAGTGCTAACTGAAAAGTGCAAAATAAATTTTATAAATTGATCACATATCTCATTTACAAATCATTCAAAATCTATTTCCTTACATTGACTTAAATCATGATTATCACACCTGGTTCTGTATGCCCACTGTGAATTCAAAAGGAGCGCACCACTTTCGACTTTACATTTTGTTTTTATTTTATACAGCCAGAAAAGAAATTTGATTTAAATAAACTAAAAATTAGGACATAACAAAATTAGCAATACTTTATGTTTGCAGCCAGTTTGATACTTGTACCGAACATAAAGAAAATCAAACAATGAAAAGACACTCCCAATCATTGTGCAGAGTCAGGCAAACAAAGAAAGGAATAATCACCTGCAGAACCAGGAAGCTTGACTCCGAGCCTCTGGAATTCCAAGGCATCCGCTGCAAGCTTACGAATGTGGCTTTCATCAACACACATTAAAATGTTCTCAGGCTTAATGTCCGTGTGGATAATCCTGCATTTGCTGTGCAAGTAATCAAGGCCTTCTAGAACCTGCAAATGATGGAGAGAAAAAACGTGTCAATAACCTTAAGCAGAAATAAAATCTGCACTTACTCAAGAGCTAGGGTACTAGGAAAATAGGGATAGAGGAAACCAATCACTATCCAACAGATGTTCCTTGAGGCAGTGCTAAAGATGTAGCCTTCAACGGAGATACTGAAAATCTAGGAGCTTTCCCTCTAGAGTTCGCGCGCAAGGGCCCAGAAGCCCCAAAATGGAAAGGTATCATTCAGTGAAAATCTGATCTTTTGAGTAATTCAACAGAAACAAGAAAATGGGAATCAAATATCATTTGTGTAGAAACATTTGCTTTTTATTCTTGTTATTTTGACTGATGTATACGAACTGCCTGTACCTACATTTAAGCAAGCACTTTACATCTCTGCATAATCAGAGCAACTAAGGGCATTACGATTTGTGAAGTAAAAGATATTTTTACAACTACTTAATATTTGAAGAAAAAAAAAGTGTGCCCGCTAATTCTCTGCTACATTAACTTTTACCCAAGAAACACAATTGTGTCTCCCCTGGTCAATATTAGTCGTAAGAAGCAGTGTGCTACTATCAGCTACGACGCTCGAAAGGCAAAAAAGTGACTTGCATTGAAATTTTTGGGTTTTTTTTACATTTTAAAAGTTTGATAGATTCTGCTTCATTTAAGATCAAAATACAACTATAATCAACTATATTTTATTTTGATTTATTTTGGAGGAGTGTGTGGTCTGTTGTGAGCTTGGGTGACGAGATAAAGGAATTTTGACCTTGCTGGTATGTAGCTGTGAGACTATTTATAGAACCATTACTTTATGGCCACCTTTACTTCAACGTTCTTCATTTGCAACAGCGTCGCAACTATTTTTAGATTTTAATCCATTTTCGAGCATGAATGGTCTGAAATGTAAACAACTTGTTATCACTATGCACGACAGGGGGGGGGGGGGGCGCGGCGCTCTGATTGGTTAAACAGGGGGAAAATGGTAACATCTAGCTCACTTCAAGCTTGTTTACGTAAACAGCTGGTTGTGTGGGTGTGCCCTGCTAGCTGTTATCGTCTGTTGGTCTTTCAGTTTTAAACTTGGATAGACTTTAAAAAGTTTGTTTTTTATTGTGTTTTAGTTTGGTGCTTTATAGCAAAAGCAGACACCAAAACGGACTCCTTACCAAGAGGCCACCGAGGCAGTCTATGTGCATGTGTGTGCATGTTAGTGTATGTGCATTTTGTACGTGTGTGTGTGAGTGTGCATGTGTGTGTGTATGTGAGTGTGAGTGTGCATGTGTGTGTGTATGTGAGTGTGAGTGTGCATGTGTGTATGTGAGTGTTGTGTGTACGTGTGTGTGCTCTCTTGTGTTTATGGAGCTATTGCAAACGTACAATTAGGTAGCAGAAACACGGCACGTAAGCCAACCTGGGGCCTTCGGAGTGCGTGGCTTCGGTGAAATGGGGGTAATTCAGACCACTGTTTCTTTGGTCTTTTGCTATAAAACACCAAATGCTGTACACTTTGAAAAAGTTCAGAATTTCTTCGTAACAAAAGTTTAAGTTGTTGGTATATCGAAGTATTTTGAGATGGAGAATCGCTGTGGAAAGGAAAGCTCCTCCCGGTTGGAATGCGAGGTCGGCCGGTTCAAAATTGACACCCATGCATTCGAATGCTTTGCAAAAAGATTAATGACTACTCTCTTTTCATTGGTGGAGAACTATACAGCTTTGAGCGTGGTTTCCCATGGAGTATTTTTGGTTTTTGGTGTTTGGACAGAGTGACTTTTTAAAAAGCGTTAAAGTTTTCAAAGATAATTTTTTACACGAAATGCTAAAAAAAATGTACCAATAGAAAGAACAGTTCTTTTTCTATTAGAATAAAGTCATCGGTTTGGAATTATTTGGCATGAATCCTTCTGTGAAACTACCGGGAACACTCAGTACACTACAGTATTGAGCTGACTTGCTCGCCGCAAGGGCTGGTGTGGTGCCAGCCCGGACAACGCTGTTTTTATCGAAATAACGTCATATCATCGTGTTTGAGGCAATAAAATACTGATATGTAACGATCTCAGTCTTGAAAAAATTTAGGCTTCATTTCTTTGTCATAGATGTATGGTGCACTTGGTACTCTTTTACTTCTGTCAAACATGGGGTTGCAGCCAGTTTGTGACTTCAGCAATATTTGACTATCATGTTAAACTGAAACAGTTGCCACTCTCTTAAAAACTGACCGATAGGTAAAAGTATGGTACCAAAATTCTCAGGAGACAGGCCTTTCGTGTGAAACAGATGAATTTGACATACAGCTACTTTGAAAATTTAGTATCTGGTACCTAGTACAATGCTAACATGTTGTTGCATTTGACGTGAAGTCCATTCTCGTGAAAATTTTGTTTTGTCCATAAGTTTTTTCTCTGTGAATAAATAGTTTTCTACTTCTGTGTGTTACCTTATTGTGGCATAGCCAAGATAACTTATAAAAATGTTAAATCTCTATCTCAATTCTAAGAACATGTTGCTCAACTTCGGAGGCCATTTTCTCCTTTTTGTGTTTTATCAACTCGCACAATTAAGTTCCATATTTCCGTCATGTATTGTTATATTTACTTCATTCTTTTTTTTAATTGCAGGAAAAGGTGATAGTTTTTTAAAAATAATGTAAACTCAGTTTTGAAATTACCTTCATATGACTGATATTGACAGACAGGGACACAATCGAAAATTAACTTTTATTTTATACAAGTAACAAAACTATTGTAGGTCACACTTTACTCTGGGGTTATCACTTTGTCAACTGCAGTCCATAATCTGTATAATAATAATACTACAGCCATCAGACATTACCATTCACAAACTTACAAACAAAACTCTGTGCGGCACATGAAAGCAGTGACTTGCTCAAAGGAAATGAAGCAGAAACATGAAAATATTTTGAAAGTCCTAGCATCTGCACAAAAAATTTTTTTGAAGATACCTGCTTTGTGATGAGCTTGACATTATGCAGAGGAATACCCTGGTAGTTTGAACGAATGATAAGCTTGAGAAGGTTGTTGCCCAGCACTTCAAACACCATGCAGACATCTAAGAACAATGGTCAAGGAAATAAGTAGAGCAGTGTAATACTAAACCAAAATTCTCCATTTGATTATTAAGACTAAGGAAAAAAATAATTGAAAAGTTGAAAGCCTGAAGACTGAAATCTATAAAACTCAATAACACAAGACAAAAAAAAACCCATTAAAAAAACCCCAAAAAACTGGCATGTAAATGCCCACTGCATCAAAAGATACGAGTTCCATTGACTCCTGAAATCTTGAAGTCGTCCAGCAATTGCACTGCCTTTTCCCTGTGTGGATCTCCTTCATCTGCTTCTCGAACCTGCAACAAAAATAGGCACAGATAATTCAAGCCCAAAGCCTTCCCTGTAAATGTCAGAAATGCCACTCAACCTACACTGTCATAGGTCAGCCACATTAAAAGTGGCATCATTTTAAAAAACTGCACTGAAGCACAGGAGCACAAAAGACTTAACATGTGTTAATCTCTAGCTACCATATTACACCAAAGAGCATGTAAACCCAAAAGCAAAAATTACATATTCAGCCAATAAGTGAGGAAATAATTAAGTTCCTTCCATGCCTTAGAGGCTCACATTCTCCTAGTTTACAAAAATGTCCAGAGCACGAAAAAGAACAAAAGGCATGTGTTCCCCTCCTAGACCGGAATCCACACTGCCACCCATTGCCACATAAAGGTACTTCATTGTCACAAAGATACTCCTTTGCAAATTGAACATTACATGCCCTTATGACTTGAAAGTTCACTTATACAAAACAAAATCAGCCAATGATTTATGACACATAACATTTGTTTTTTTTTTATTTTAAGTAACCAAAAAAAAAAACCCCCAAAGTTTTTATATGTCAAGTAAAAAAATGATGACTGCTATTTGTGCAAAATCAGTAAAATTTGAAAGGAAAGTATTAATCTGTCTGAAAAGCGGTATTTTGACTAAAGCAATTTCAAAATTTCAAAAGCAAAGACATTTATGCTCTGTATCCGAGCTGTTCTGAGCTTACGAAGTAGTCCATTCCTTTACATTGTCTTCACAAAAAGCTATGGCTGCTTGTGAGTACTTGAAAATGGTTAAAAGTGGTATATATTCTTACTTAATGTAGAAGATGTACAGCTCATGAAAACTAAAAACAATCTTGACATCACTTTGCCAATAACTGGTACTGTTCAGATATTTGGGATAATTCATTTTTGTTTTTTAATGAATCTCTAGTTACAAGTTCCATAATATAGCAATGCACTGTGTTCCTACTGTAAACACATCTTTACCAACTATAAAGGCTTACGGTACATTATCTTGTATGCTTTAACCAATAATTGAACAGTCAAATGATGTAGACAAGCTGTCCAAAATTGAAAAAAGCCATTGTCCATAATTACAAAAAATTATCAAAGCTAAACAGCATCAGGGAAGCAAAGACAAAAACTCCTTAAACTTACACATTTCAACAGCTTGATTTCATCCAGGGCAGTTTCAGTGTAGTGCTGAGCACTTTTTACAACCTTCAGTGCCACAAATCTTTTACATCTGAGGGGAAATAAAAGGAAATTTGACCTTCAGCAAAGACCCTCATTTAACTCATACTATGACTTAGTTTTTATATTCAAATAAAAAGAATCTATTGTCCAATTAATGGCAGCCACACACGACACAGGCCGTCCTCAAGGCGCGGCTTCAACTGAACTGTGCAGACCTCAAACAGACAAAGCACAGACCCAGCGTGGGCCAAGCACAGACCCAGCGCAGGCCAAAATCAAAACAAATCCCCGGCCTGTGCAAGGACTGAACAAGGCCTGTCTGAATTCTATCCCCGCCTGAAATTTCCATGCGGCCAGTGTGGTGAGTAGGTGTATTGATGAAAGAAAATGGCATCTGGCCAAGCGACAAGGTTTTGGACTTTATTGAAATGTGTACAAAAATCACCAACGCTTCCGGAAAATTTAGTGCAAAGAGTACAGTAACAGACAACCCAACGACAAAGCATAATACGAGGTTAGTTCCACGTAAACCTTTCCCGCAAGTGCCGATAGAAGAATAATCCATTTCACGAAGCAAGTTGATTGTGTAATTACACCTGTGGAGTGGGTGGTTGGCAGGTGCTCTGGTGTGGTTGGCTCCTTCTTTCCTATAAAAAATTTATCTTCTCTATCTCCCCTCCTTCTTTTTTGTGTTTGTTACTCTCCTGTAGTACTTCTAATCTTCAGCACTTATAAGACTATGACCTTATTGTGTTGCAAGTGCCGTAAAACTCTAACTAAAACTAAAACCAAACACGTTTGGAGAAGCCACTTTTTGGACTACAGCCTCTTTTACTTCTTTTTCAAATATAGACCTATTGCTAGGCATGCCAGCGACATTTTGTCCTGATTGGTCGCCACAAGGATTGCACAGTCATTGCATGTGCCGTGTGTGTGCACTTGACCCAGGTCGCCTCAGCGGGCCTGATGACAAAACTCAAGGGGGCCCCAAGGATCGCCTTAAGATCACAGAGTCCAAGGACAGCCCGCATTAGACTGATTTTCTACCAGTCTGACTAGGCTCTTTGAACATGCAAGAAAGAACAAAAAATCCTACTGCACTCCCAACCAAGCTTTCGAATTCAACATGTCAGTGAAGCTTATGACTGACTGCAGCAAAACACTGGGTAAAAAGTAGAAATGCAGGTAGAAATTACTTTAAAATGATAAGCCATTTTCATAAAAACTGGAATTATACAAGACTACTAATGGTTGTAAAGCGCATAGAGCATGCTGAAGAGTGTGGATGTGCATAACATGAATGCTATTATTATCATTATTAGCCATCCTTCAAAACCTTGCCTCCCGCTAAACTTCCAGTATGTGGTAAAAATTTACGAAAAACCATACAAGTCGGTCAATCAATACAAAACACGCTATGGAATGAACCAGTGCAAATGCATTCATTGCCTACTTCGCTACTAAATCCTGTGCTAACCAGGGTATGGTAATTAAAAAAAACGTTTCCTGGCACAAACTAATCTTGCTGACCACTGGGATTAAGTATTTTGATTTAGTTTAATGTATGGCACATGCAACACAATAAGGTCATATAAGTGCCAGAGATTAGGTGTTACAAGAGGGTAACAAGCACAAAAAACACCCCAAAAAAAAGAAAGAGGAGAAAAGGATATTTGAAAGGGAAAAAAGGAGCAAAATTAACTACCCCAGATCACCCGCCAACCACCCACAGGGACTAAATTAACTAAGTATGTAAATCTGCTTTTCTTACAGGCTATAAAAATAGCCAGGTAGTTTGCTTTGGCACATGAACTGCATATCCCTTTTTGTGTTGATGAGGCAACAAATGAGCACCAGAGAGCTCTGCAGCAGAAAGTAACAGATTCATAACAACAGAAACAGTCAGTTATGCAAATTGTTTCTGGAGAGGTAAGTTTTAAATCTTACTCCCAATCCAATGCACACACAGATATTTTTACTACAAGTACACATAAGATATAAATACAAATCTAAATAAATGTACACAGACACAAATAAGTTCTCATTTGCAAACACTCGAACTCGCTTAAACATTTTATAACAACAATGACACAATTGCCCAAGTCTTTTTTCTTCTTCAGGTCTTTAATTATTGGTAATTCAATTTCACAGAGCAGTGTGCAAGACAGTCTGCCCTCAGGAAAACCCAACCCCAGGTCACCAGCATCCATCCAACTTCACTTTTCTTTTAGCAGTAGTGCCCCCAATTCCCAAGCCAGACAGCCACTGGGAGCACACAGTGTTCCTATGTATAGTAACACACACCGGTCCCCACCACAAATCAATGAAATCAATGTTTCCCTTCCCTCAGAGCTAGAAGAAGCCCGCCACTCTTGCGCTTCATGGGGAATCCCAGTGTGAAAAACCAAACGTCCTCCCCGTCTACCACTGGTGACCTCATCTCAGCATGTGTGAGTTATGTAGCTAGTGGATGAGTAAATCGTTATTTTTAAAAAACCACAAGCAGTCTTCAAATCAATAAATATTAACGGGATGGCATTGAGAGAACAGAACTTTCTTTGGAAACTCCTGATCTTTACCATAAACTTCATTTCCCAAGAATGCTCACCCATCCTCTGCAAGTCTCATTAGTATAAAGATGAAAAACTTAACAGTAATAATGAGACAAAACACTGTATCAGTTCACTTTGACACTTCAATTTTTAATCTTAACTTGACATGCTGGGAAAGGGTATCCTACGCCCAAAGCTCCAAATTAAACTGCATGTGAAATAGTTCCAGGCCTGATTCAGACACCTAAGAGGGTATTCAATGTTTTTCAAGGTGATACTGAAATACACCATTTCGCTGTGGCTTTTTTTTTTTTGGGGGGGGGGCAACACCAAAACTCATTCTTCATTGTCAAGAAACAATCCAGCTCCCTGTCCACAACCACTGTTTTTCAAGATTAAGCTAATAAAATCTTCCATAAATTCTCTTGTCATTTCACTGAATTCAGACTGATGTATTACTTATTCTTCAATGATATACTTTAACCGGTGGTACCATATAACACATCATGTTCAGGCGCATAATGATAAATAATTTTATAAATTGCAGGAACCATGACTTTCGAAAGTACTATTTTGTGTGGTGGGACATACTAATAAAGATTAACAGGTGTTTAAAACAACAAACATAAACTGGTTGATGTGAATGTAAAGGGACAACTATTCCGGTACACCAGGTTTGAATTTGATTTCTTCACCTTGAATATGAATCTTTGTTATAGTACGAGTTTTAAGGCACATCATATAAATACTGAAGATTAATGTTACAAGAGAGTAACACACATGAAAGAGAAGGAGGAGAGATAAGGACGATAGATGTATGACAGGAAAGAAGGTGCAAACCATACCAGAGCACCCACCAACCATCCACTGGATAAGAATCTGAGCCAGGTAAGTTAGATATTACCAACACTGCAGACTAGAGAGTACTTCCAACAGACAGAAAGCTGACCTGGTGTGACAATATATGCCACCACTTGAAGGTAATCCAAAACCCAAGCAATATAAAATTAATATGAGGTGTCAACTTCAGTTGTGAAAATACTCCATGCATAAATCACCAAAACAAATAAAAGCACTTTGATCGATATTAGTAAAACACACATACTAAGCCTCTGGAAATGTTCAGCACATTTTATTATAATGTTAATGTGGGTAACATGAATTTGCACTTTATCATCTAAAATTCTAAGATAAAAATAAACAATAACTATAAGAGAAAACACAAATACTGGATGAAAATTTCACAACTTAAAAGATGACTCTATGTCAGGGAATCCAGTTAAAAAATTTGCCCACATAATTAACCCTTTATAGTAATGAAGAAGGATGAGACAGGAGTGACAGAAAAAGAGCCATAAGAAAATAATACAAAAAACAAAAACAATATTGGTACATGCGCCAAATATGTGTACAAGAGTGTACTGGCACATGTATGTCAAATATGTGTACACGGGTGTGGTTCATGCAGTCCATTGACGTTAGTCCTCAAATTACAGTAAATAATAAAAAATTTCAATAGAATGAGGCTTGCAGGCTTTGATCCAACTCCAACTGACACAGACAAGTAAACATGACTGACTGACTGTATATGTGCTCATTTGTACATGCACTTACATACATACGGGGGAAGGAGAGGCGCCGGGGGGGTGGAAGAGATACTCACTCTAGATCCCAACTGAGCCAGACAGTGGAGAAGTGTCCCCAGCCTAGTTTGCGCACGGTGTGATATCGGCTATTGAGAAGGTCCCCAATCTTCACAGGGTGATATCCACCCTTGCAGTAGTCTCTGGGATCCTCTTGTTCATCATCATCAGAGCCCAGGATTTCTTCTTCCTCATCTTCCTCTTCATCATAGCGTGGCTCGTTCTTCTTGGGGTCTGTCGACCTGCAAGTGAAGGAAAAAATAGTTGTTAAAAAATCATGTAAGTACCTCAAACTCAAAGTGGGAAAAACCACTATTTTCTTCAGCTAAAAAATTATGTCATGGAATGTATTTTAGTTTAGTTTTAGGTTTTAGTAAGTGTTTTACCACACTTGCAACACAATAAGGTCATATAAGAGCCAAAAATTAGAGGTGTTACAAGTGAGTAGCAAACACAAAAAAGAAAGAGATATAAGGCTTAAGGGCGAAAGATGTTTGATAGAAAAGATTTAGAAAATTCCCTTATCTCAGAGAGCATTTTCAAACAGGTCTGTTTTTCTATGTCAAAATAAATCAATAAGACATTCATGCACAACAGTAAACACAGTTGTCGCAATTCTTTCCATAAAACACTATTGTTGAAAAGAGAAATGATGCCCTCATTTTTAAAAACATTTTGACAATCACCCCCTTCTCCACCTACCCAAAACCCAATAATAATGTGTCACATTAATAAGTTATAAACAAAGATAGTATAATAGTAAGAAGTACTGCAGCATAGACACTCAAATATCTGCCGATCTTTCGCAGTACTCAGTACTCGCAGTACGTTTTATTCCCAGCAATTAAAAAGCACCTAGAACTCATTGTGCGTCAAACATACAAAGGAAGCTTGCAAACTAGTTTGCCCACAACCACAGAATAAATCACGAGGGTTTTTTTTTTTTTTTTGGTTACTGTTTTGTGTGAGGGGGGTGGGGGCGGGTATAGAGGACGTGAGGCAGCGACAATCAGCTTACAGAGCCTGGGGCGATGTCAACACCACACAACGAGTGGGAGGGTGAGTCGTTGGTTTAACTAGTGAACTCCCCATATATCACACAGTGGGAGAAATCAACCAAGGACGATTTCGCTGCGAGGAATTATTGCCTCTGGGCGCGGCTCGCAAGACACGCGACAACCACTTGCTGTAGGCCGTCAATACTCGAAGAAAAGGGACTTTGTACAATTACGCCAATTGGATGGTGGAAACGGGGTTGTAATTAAAGAACGAAAAGAGAGGAACACTGATCGGGTGGCGGATATATGGTATAGGGAAGAGTTCATCATTTAATTTGATCGACGTTAAAACATCGGGTTTCATTAGCTCTTCTTTGAGCAAGGTGAGTGTGTTCGTAGGGAGCGCAGTTTTGGGGCTTAGTTTTGTTTGGGGATTATTATTGTTTTCGCTGTTGATTTTGCTGACAGTTTTCTTTTGGGGGGGGGGGGGTGACCCCCTATCGCTGTTTAACCATCTTCTGACAATCATCTGATCTATTCATAAATATTCAACAGAGTATGTTCCAACATGATGTCATTTGGTGTTTGTAATGGGTTGACAGAACATCGACCTCAACAGATGTATAAAATTTGTTTTATGCATGCCTTCATCCATCTGTCGCACTCGGGAAACTTTTCCATAAGTGGCCATACATCGATAAATCTCTTCTTTTTTTTTTTAAAGTATGGGGCAAAATGAACGTTACTTCTCTACTTGCTCTAAATTTGAAAGATGTTCTTCGTCCCACAAGAACTGGGGTTTTGGGAGGGAAGGGGTGCGCAAGAAAGAACAATTATTTATAAGACGATAAGGATAAATTAAAGCCAACACAGCGGTGGTCTCCGACCACTGACTATTATATTCTGTGTTATTTGAATGCGCTGCGAGATAAGCAGGCACAACGACAAGCGACAAGTCACTGGTCTAGAAAATGGAATTCAATGGTTCTCACGACCAGCAGGTGGCATAAGATCACAGAATATGTTTTAGTTTTAACTGCACTCATAGTTTTCGAGAAGCATATCAACTATTCTTTTATTTGCGATCTAGATATCACAAAGCACGCTGTTTCATGAACAAAAACAAATTTATAGAAATAACAACTGGACAGCACTGACATTATAGGAAATATTCGCAAAACCCTCCAATAACATCAAAACAATCCTGTTCACATTGGCAGAACAAAGTCAGATGACGGAGGCAGGGGTAACAGACTACCGCGAAAAGAGAACTCGCGAGAAGCGAATCTTAGTTTTTTGTTAGTGTTTTTCGGTACTTGCAACACAAAAAGTCCATATAAGTGCCGAAGAATAGATGTGTTACAAGAGAGCAACATACACAAAAAAGAAGGGAGGAGAGAATAAGGACGATAGATGTTTAATAGAAAAGAACGAGCAAACCACACCAGAGCACCCGCCAACCACCCGCGAGAAGCCAATCTTTAACCAGGCACATTTATTAGGTTGTGTGCAAACAACCCTCGATATGGAAACGGGCGGGTGGGCAAGTTTCTTCTAAACTGGTGCATGAAATCGAGCTAATAATTATCTTATGAGTTGATGAATTGGCTACATAAGAAATGCATTTTAACAACACTGGCGACGAAACAGATAACACAGATTAAACATTCTTTAAAAATGCAATTTACATAACAAACACATGACAATAAAACTAAAGATTTGAAGCTCTGTTCCTCCGTTCACCCAGGGACACACCAAAACAATAACATAAGCGCACAACTGAAGCTAATACAGAGGAAACGTACTGATCAAACCAAAAGTTGAGATACTCCTCACGAATCAAGAGTCGTTGGAATGCACGAAAAAAACCAATGGACATTTTCCTCCAGACTAATTCTGGTTCGCATGATTCCACTCAAGAGCACACACACAAACTCTCTACACTATTCCTTCAACGAGTTGGTACAAGCTGATCAGCCTCAGACCTCCAATGTCCCTTACCCCCTCCCCTCCCAAATTCATTCGCACACCCAATCACCATTGCCTCTCTTACACTCTTCAGCGAGTAATGCCATCGATAACATTGTGGTATTCGTCCCCCCTCGAAACCCGTCGTCTATCTCTTTTAAGAACAGACTCAAACTTCTATTCACGCTAGTTGTAAAAATCAGCGTCAAGAGACGAGTGTGACATCCAGTGAGGTGCTTCAGTTTAAGATACAAATCGGCACCAATACACAACCGTTCTCAGTCCGTATTCATTATCAACATCAAATGCAAGACACACTGTTTGTGCAATTTGCATGTGAAACGCGTACACACACCGCGTTTGCTTCATTGAATAGGAATGGTGCGTGTAGCAACGGTGAACCCGAATTGTAAGGGTAGCAAATAAGCACGGGTTATTAACCACGACGAAAGCAACCACTGACGAAAGCAACCACTGACGAGCTTACATGCCAAGCAGCAGGAGACCGTTCAGCATTGTATAAACATTTATCGCAGCTCGCGAGGACGAATAACCTCCTTCGCGCACTCTGCCCCTACACTCGAGCAAATTTTCAGAAAAACAAGATTATCCATTAGACTTGGTTTAATGATATCGCTTTTGACTTCATCAAAGTAGAACTCACCAGTTGTGGTTGAACAGAGTGAGTGCAAAGAAACATACCGATACGATAACAAGTATTCAAGCAATGGAAAAGGCAAGATAAAAACAAAAGTGGGGGGAAAGAATAGAACCTGAATAGAACCTAACAGTAGCGTCCCTAAACCACCTGCCAGCTTGTTATGCATCGTACAGACACGTAAAACATCGACATTGACCATTGCACTGATGACATGAGAACAACGTATCCTCGGCCAAAAATAATACAATGTACCTCCAAAAGAGGACAAAAATAAAAGCGCAAGTGTATAACCCTTGTTTACAGTAGTCGGGGTGACACGAGCTGTTTTTGCGCAGAGGGTTTACATCATATCATATATGAGATCTCTAACGTACAAACAATAAACAAAGCTGGGTTTCACCAGAAACAATGCGACAGCAAATACAAGTGAACATGCACGGGAACAGTGATGTTGAACAGAGGGGAAAACAAGTAAGGTGATCTAGATATAAAAGGAAAAAAACATTCTCAGAGCTCTGAAAAAGTAAATCGGTCAGCAAGTCAATCGAACACCAAGGCCAGATACCATGAGAGACCCCGAAACCGACGACAAAGGCAAAACTAAAGCAACAAACAAACACGCTGATATCTGATATAGCTCCATTGATAAGACGCGTGAGTGGAAAGAAGACAGACAAACAGAGTACGGATAAACAAACACAGTTGCTGACAGTATATACCGAAGTAAAAAATAGTGCACAAGTACTACATAATAATATTATGTATCAGAAGCGTACAAAAACAAAAGTGCGTACATTGGTGGTGAACAACTAGTCTCCTTGGGAGCAGAACAGGCGCTTTTATCAAGACTTGTGCCTTGGTCGGCTTGTTCTTCTGTCGAAACGCAAGAAGAAGGGCAGTCCGGGATATCACTGGCGGAAATGTCTGGGAAAAAATCATGTTCGGAGAAACTAGTGGCAGCATCACTTGATGGCGAGCATCTAGAGGACTCCCACTGTATCATATTAGAATAGCCAAGCTCACTTCTGGACACAAGGTCTGACGTGCAATGGTCTGAAGCTTCACTAACCATCAGATCACTCATCTTATCATGCTTTGGCAAACTTGAAGAAGCACCAACGAAAACAGCATTCGGCTGAGAGGACGCCGATCTATCAGAAGGTTCAGGGATCTTGACATTAGCGTTAGTCAGTACAGCTGTTTCCACTTGTGAGTACCCCACTTCCCAACTATCTACCTCCGGCATGATCAGATCAGATATATCGCTCACGTTGGAGTCAATCTGAGAAAGTTCCGGATCAACATCTGAAGCCCCCGTGGAGATGTGAAAAGATCGCTTGTCTACCTGAAAAGACTCAATCTGAGAGGATTCTGTGTCAATCTGAGATGACTCCGTGTCAGCCTGAGAATGCTCAGTCTCAATTTGAGAATACTCTGTGTCCAAATGCGAACGCTCTGTGTCATTTCGAGAAGATTCAGTGTCGGAACTAGCCAGCAATTCAGAGCCGGCAGTGGGCACATGAGGTACGTGTTCAGCCACGCGATGACTGACAGAGACAGGTACCAGAGAAGACCCACATTCCCCTGTGAGCAGATTATTGTCCATGTCTACATTCAGCATACCCATGGCCACCTCTTCACTAAGCCGAACGGGCTGGCTGGAAACGAACATGTCCAATGATGTGCAAGTGCTGGGGCCACGATCGTTGACCACTGCGTCAGTAGTTGCAGCAGCATACTCCTGGTCAGCACAGCACCTGATGTTCCACGTAAGCTGTCTCGGGAGATCATACGAATCTGAAAGCACGTTGTTGTCTGCATCAGGTTGATCCACGACACTCGCCACACCATTTGACTGCATTTGCTGACTAATAACAGCCGTATTTTCGGGGCAGACACTGGTGATGTTGTCGCTGACCTCTTCAATGGCCAACGGGCAGGTGATAGGGACATTATCACTCCCCATGGTGTTAACATTAGTATTAGTATGTGTATTAGTACTTGCAGCGTTCTGCTGGTTACCGCTGCCCCCGGTGTCTTGTGTTGCAGACTGTCCAGAGACAGCAATGACTACCATTTCCACGAGCGAGTGCCCCGTGCCGCGGTTTGGCACAGCTGGGATTGTAGACGAACTACCTTGTTGTGCCGGCATCAGCCTAGACCATGAAATAAACTAACTTTATCATGGACAGCAACAACTCCAAACTAGCTTCTGGCCGTACGAAGATTAGGGAAACAAAACAAAACATAGCAAAAAACAATTATCTCCGTGCTGTTTTCACCTCCAAATCCTGCAGCATGCAATCAAAAAATCATAGAACAGTACTGAGTGCAATGGCGCAAACGCGTCACCACAAATGTATTTCCCAATGCAAATATAGTCCGAGATCGTATGGTGATCAATTATGGAGGCTAAAAGAATATGCACTTGTTACCGGTATCGTTGTCGAACATAAGACGGCATACTAAACCACCCAACAATAACACAGCCTTGACTGCAGAGCCGGCCGCCCACACCAAATAAAGAAATCATTCTCGGAGTTTACGTTTGAAATATGTGACAATCCGATAAACGGTCTTGATTAATTCAAAGTAATAGCAGACGGAGTCGAGTTTTAGACACGGAGCACACACAGAAACACAGCAGAGATCAGGCAAAGTGGCCTAGCTCTGGGCAGCTCATGTCCCACTGTCGGCATAAGAGACGCAGCAAACTTTCCATATAATCGATGTCTGCCCCCTCTCGCAGCACTCACTCAACACACGCGCACGCTCACCACCAGCAGCGATGTCCAACAACGGGAAGCGCCGAGTCTTACAGCAAGTGTTTAAGATGGGGTGCTGCCCGGGAAGGCGAAACCGGGTGGAAGGGTTGGAGGAAGAGGAGGTGTGTCAGAGAAATTCTCACGATGACGTAAGAGACAGTTCATCAACGGGGATAGAAAGGACTCCTCAACGGGAACAGGGTGTACTCCAAAAAAATAAATTTATCCACGTTCTTTTACGCACAAACGAATGGAACTAAGCACCGCGTTAATTTTCAGAAACGTACGTAGTAATTCAGTGTGAATGGTGTGAGTTCAAACGCTGGCAGTTCACTCCATGCAAACGCTGATAGGAATGAGTAGGTTATATATCCGTCTGCATCACTGCAGGTTGGCGACGTTTCTCAAATTTACATACCAAATTATATAATTCACTCGTGGGGTGTGGATAGGAGAGGCAAAGACGAGGGGAGAGCGAGAGGCACTGGATATAGCAGAGTTCCAGGGGAAGAACAAGTCAATGCGCGAGTCTCTGTCTGGGCGTTCATACGAAAAATCAATGAGCTACATCTCGAGTCCGGACAAGGGGGTATACATTCGAACTGATATATCAAAAACGGTTGAGATTTCCAGCCTCACCCACGCCATATCGACATTAAAGCCGAGGGCTGTTAAAGTGCTAGATATAAAATTAAGAGTTTTCTCCTTCTCACTACCGAACTAGTAGCACTAGTAGCTCCCTCCGACGACCCAATATGCCTTCTGAGAGTTAACACGTTGACGAATTTAGTTTCCAATGTCAACGAATTCAGCACTTGACAATGCAAACCAATCAGACCCGTTGATTACCAAATAGAGCAAGTTATATTACCGAGGTCTCAATTAGCAGCACCGAGACAAAAACAAATAGCATGCTTTAATGATCATTACGCACCTAAAAGACCAAAACCTGACTCTGACAAGGTGCCAGAATGATTTGACGGTTGTTTCCCTAAGACTATGCCAGTACTAGGGAAAGTCTTTGGGCAGACAGCCGGCGCCCCTGTAGTAGTAATTAATGTTTGCTGAGAGAAAATAAACAATCCTCCACAGGGAGGAAAACGCCTGGCGTCGAAGAGCAAATCGACAAGAAATGAGGACCAGAAGTGAAGGCTACGTCAATACTATGACGTCATGATGAGAGCAATATGCCATTCCACGATGGCGACTGCAGCTTCTTGGGTTCACAATGCACCCACATAGTGTTGGCAACTCGAAGAAAGATAAAGAGTACTGGCGAAAGGGAGGAGAAAACAAAAAGTAAAATTCCAATACACCACAGATAGGCGTTCTCCGTTGAAGACAAGAAAAAAAAATATGCTAAAACGAATACCTGCCGTCACCTGCCCACAGACCAAAAACCTAGTAGAAAGTGTTTTGAGACCAAAAGACGTTTTTGGGTGGCAGTGATCTAAACAAGGTGTATTTTGGTGCACTTTTAATATACCACCTGTATCAGCCTTGAAGCATAACCATTACTACCATGTTCACACATTATTTACGCCAACAAACAAATAACCGGTACCAAATTGGGACACAGAACGAAATAAACCACAAATAGTTCCTGCCTTAATCATAACACAAAGACTTAAATACACTACACTGCTGACATCCCTTTAAAAAAGAGTGGAACCACTTGTAACAATACTAGCAACACCAAATTACGATCGATTACCAAGGTCAGTGAATGACATGGGGGATTTGCCCGCATTTCGGGGATAAAGAGAGGAACAAGAACACAAGGCCCTTTTTGGACCCAGAAAACGCCTACTGGTTATTAACCCCTTATCTTCCAAATTTGAGGAAGAACTAATGAGTAGGCCTGGGTGTGGAAGCGCATTGCTGCGTTACAAGAATCTCGATGTTCATAATGACAGTTCTTTTTTTAACTGGCGTAAAAGCTCATTCTTCTTCGCTTTGAGCTTTGTTGCTGGGGTTGGGTTTTGGGTTTTTTTTAGGGGGGGGGGGGTTGTTGTTGTTGTTTGTTTTGTTGTTGTTGTTTGTTTTGTTGTTGTTGTTTGTTTTGTTGTTGTTGTTTGTTTTGTTGTTGTTGCTGTTGTTTTGTTGTTGTTGTTTTGTTTTGTTTTGTTTTGTTTTGTGTGTTGTTGTTTTTTTTTGGGGGGGGGGTTCTTGAATATTGGCAAAGAGCTTTTCCCACGCTAGTCACCTACATTTACACTGTTTCATATACCCATCGAGTCCCTCATTCATACCCTTTATACTATACCACCCCCACCCCCTTTAAAAACAAAACAAAAACCCCAACCCTCACAGACCCCTTACCCCCACCAACATCCCACTCCCTGACTCTTCCCCTCTTACTTTATAATATAGGCTACCCATCTGGTCGGATTTTCATGTCCTTGTCTTATTTGAGCAGTTATAGATAACCTTTACGAAGTCACTACCGGTAAGCAAACTACTTTCGCTTTGTCCATCAATCCACCTTGGTCGAGTTGCTGAGGGGCAAAAAATACTTCTACGAGTCAGAGTTATGAGGGCAGAGTTGTGTCTTCCGAACAAGATCGTCGTCTTCGGGAGGTCAGGCCCATTCCCCGACGCTGTGGAGTCTAAAATGTTAGTGATAATTGGGCTGTCAGTTGTGTGTGTGTATGTGTGTGTGTGAATGTGTGAGTGTGTATGCATGAGAGAGGGGGGGGGGACATCACCAAGCTTCTTAAATAAAACAAAACTAACTGAATGTTTATGTTTTTAACAGAATTACGCAAGGCAGGACAATATTTTACTTCTAGACCTGCTCCATAACTCTAGTATCGGCCTTGTCAGTGATAGGGTTACGGCCTGACAATGGCATACGAATGTTCAGACACGCAAACTGATAGAGCTACCTAAGGGAGGGGCAAGTAGTCACAATTCCAATAACCGGAACTTCCCATCATGACATATCTTTTATTGGGGGAAAAGAAGGGAAGAACAACCAAATATACATGTTTGGTTATTTTAAATTTGTTGGTGGGGTAGTGGGGTTTTTAAGGTTTTTGTGCTTTTTTTTAAGGTCCTACTACTAAGCCGACACCGAGTGTAGCTTCTGCTTCCAACACAGAAAAATATGTTAGGACCTTTAAGACTTTACGGCACAAAATTTCCATTATCGATTTCTGATATAAGAGCAGCGAGCGGAGCTACCACCACGTATTTCCGAGAGCATCACAAAGCACGAAAAGAATTAAAAGAAAACCCACATCTTCAAAATGAAACAGTTGAGACAGACATCAGGACGTGAACGCATTTATATATTCCCTCTTGCCACAGCAAAAAAAAAGGTTTGGAGTGGTGGAGGGGGGAGGGGTCCCGAAATAAAGAGAACGTCGACAAAGAACGAGTAAACGTAGTGTAGACCAAAAAAAAAGATGATACGACATGGCGATTTGTAAATGCATGCACAACAAGTGAACCATCAAAAGCAGGACATAATCATCACCAGGCGAAAAGTAAGAGAAAATATTCGCAGTCTTTAAATAGATAATGTACTAGCACTACTTAAGCTACAACTGTCTGCCTGCGGGAAATCATTTAGCAAAGCAAAGCGTGAGAAAACAATGAGTTTTTTAAAGCTGCAAGTTTATAAAAACAACTGAACAGCGTATATATCCTTTTGCGAAGACAAGAGAGACTATTTCAACAGGAAATGAAAAATAGTCATGGTTGATGGCAACGATTGTAAAAGTTTTACATTCCCATCGACACAAGTAAAACCGTACTACGGTACTGCTTCGGCTCTGCCTGTCAGGGTCAACCCAGACTGAGAAGAAATATAGCATCTGAATTTTATTTTTAAAAACAGAGATACTCCATAAAACAAATCACACTAATGGGAAATCTAACTCACGGCGAAATGCCTACCATTTTAACCACAGACTTGGGTACAAGAGAACTACAATTTTTAGTGGAGGTTTTACGGCGCTCGCAACTGCATAAGGTCATTGGAGCGCCAGAAGATATTTAGAGGTGTTACATGAGAGTAACAAACATAAAAAAAGAAGAAGGGGGAGATAAGGACGATAGACGTTTCATAGGAAAGAAGAAGCAAACCACACCAGAGCACCCGCCAACCACCCACGAACTACAGTTGGTGTGTGGCAGGCCGATATAAATTCAACAACAACATATATCGGCATAAGCCCCGTTCAGATAAATGCACAGGAGTTTAAAAATGGACATCAAAAGCGCACACAACCCCTTGCCAGCTCGATGACAATCAACCAAGCACAAAACATACCTAGTCCGCGGCTTCCTTTGCCTGTGTACAGTGACCCATGCCAATTGAAAATCACCACCAGGTTGATATGAAGAAGATGAACCACGCCTTTGTTTTAGCCACTTCGTAATCTTTTTCATCATCATCTCATGTTAGGGACACATAAAGCAAACACGGTCCAACAGATGGACTGGCACTAGTTACCTGGCTTGTCATATTTTCAAACACGAAATTCATTCACATTATAAGGGAATTACTAGATTACCACAAAGCACATTAACACTTTTAATAGAATAAGTTGAACGTTAGCACATTCCAGCAGCCTCTATTGCCCACTTTGAAATCAGTATCCAATTGAGAACATTCACAAAAGCAAACGATGAAAGGATTCCGTATCCAACAAAAAAATTGAAAGTATTTTCTAACGGTGCTAAGGGGGTGGTCAGTCACAACCCGTAATTAACTGGTTGGATGCACCATTAGTGATCCACACGGAGCAACAGCAATACTCTCTAAACTCAACTGAAGGATAATCCACCGTATAGAAAACTAGAGTATCAAAGCACCCAGGCGAGGGTAAAGCGGCGATTCTCCCTGCCCCAGTCAGCAGGCAAGCCGAACGCCGTGTTATGAGAGGAGATGTTTATCTCCTCTCAGCTAAGCATCTATCTGGTCAAACACTGGCGCTCTACGAGAGCAGGCGCCTGCCGCAAGGGCTGGGCCCCGTTTTCAGACAAAGAAATCAGAACTTGCCGCCACATAGATGTTATAAAGCTAGCTGGGTTACCGGGTGAGATTCGCGCAAAAAAAAAGAGGGAGAGAGCTAGAAACGAAAAAGTCTTCCACATGTGGAGAAGTACGCGGTGAGAACTCCTGCTGTCATGGGCATAGACATCGCGTACATTTAAAGTAACTGCAGCAACAGCAAGTCTGTTAATTCTTGTCGTATACTTAGCAGCATTTCTAAACTCACAGTGCTTATCATTGAACGGTATTGAATCGGAAAGCTTTTCTAAAAGCACAAAAGAAAAAGTAGACGGTATTTGAGCTTCACGCTTGCAAAAAATAATAATTTTTAGAGTTAAAAAAAAGACATTTACTTTTTATTAAAAGCACTTGAACGAAACCATACGAATACAAGAACGTCAAAGAAAATGTACATGCATTGTCTTATAAGGCGATGCTAAACGGTTCTCGGATTGACTCACAAGAGGAAAGTGGAAAATTCAAGCGATGAACATTTCAAGCTGGAGGATGGGAGAGGGGTAAGAAAGGGGAGGAAGGGGGGTGGGAAGGAGGCAGAGGTGTGAAGGTGCGGGCGCCTTAATGCGATACACATTTGATAGTTTTTCCACACCAGCAGACTAGGAAACGCCTTGCGTTTGGGCCTGGTGGGAGCGTTGCCTACTGAAAAACACGAGCCGACTTTTCGAAACAGCATGAATTCGAAAAGCAGTGAAAATGCTCAGAGCGTGACGGACTTCAGACACTGTTAAAATTAGTCTGGAAAGTGTAATTCTAAACCCCGGGTGCACTTCGTTGACAGCAGAACTATACTTTTATTATTGTGACATCGCTAAAAGCGCCAAGCTTTCTTTCTTAAATATAACTGCTGGTCTGCCAATTTACATCATGTCTGCAACTATACAATGTCCCGTTTGTACTCCTCGACTGACACACTTAACAGCTCTTAAGTGAAACATCCGGCGAGCCCGATATTCTGCCGCTCCGCCAAAGTGAGTTAAATGGTCTGTCCTGTGAAGTGTGGCGATTACAGCAAGGAGGAACAGAGGGTCAGTAAAGAAAGAGAACCTATCATTGGTGAAAATACGAAAAGAATCTAGCAACATTCGGGTAAGTCCCTCAAAATTCATATTTTCACAAAAGTTCTCTCCCACAACACATACACGAACACTATATTATATATATATATATATATATATATATATATATATATATATATATAACCAAAATATATTCATACAGTAACAAGACATACTATACAAAATATGTGGCTGGAGCTGTGTAGCAGCAAAAGCTGGCCTTGATCTGTCAATGATCCTTACATAATATATTGTTATGAAAACAACTGTTTTTGGTTTAAGCAAGTTTTACGGCACTTGTAACACAATCAAATTATGTAAGTGCCGAAGACTAGAGGTGCCACAAGAGTGTAACAAACCCAAAAAGAAGGATGTAAGATCAGGAGGATAGATGCTTGATTGGAAAGATGGAGTAAACCACACCACAGCACCCGCAACCATCCACAAACAGCTGTGTACTCGGCAAAAGATTCATTATACAAAAGAACGAAGACAAGCCACGGGGAAAAAATCACACCAATGTCAAGGTCGAGATGCACAAGCTTGCAATGAGAGAAACAAGCACTAGCATGAGCGAAAATGAAAACTGGGGGGTAAAACGTGCTCTGGGCCAAGGTCTGAAACATCTTCGGCAGTGCAATTCATGTTGTTGAAATAAGAACCAACAAAATTAATACAATCACTTCAAAGAACAGAGCGCGAGCACATCACAGAAGCATTTCATTGGACATTTATTATCCACAGCAAATCTAATTCCTGGAGAAGCCGAGGAGGCCAAGAGGAGAGCCTTGTGCTGTATACAGAAGCATTATAATACCTCGTTGACAGGTTCGATAAGCAGAATATGTCATTCGATTGTTGTTTTTTTAAGCCAGTCAAGTTCCAAAAAAAAAAGAAGAAAAAGAAAACCACCGTCTCGGCCATGTGACTCACCCTTTACATTAAATGCACATAGGTGTTCACCCCCCCCCCCCCCCCCCCCCCCCGACATTCAGACAGTTACCATCGTATACTCAAAGGTTAAATGCTACCCCGACCTTTGCAGAGGGAGCTCGACATCAGCTTTATTATTGTTTGAACTAACCTGCATGCATTGGTGTAACTGTAAGCACACGAGCACTTGCAAGCGCTCATCGTAAACAACACACAAAATATTCTTGGGGGGGGGGGGTGTTGCTCCTTTGACCAAATTTTCAGCGTACCTATGAGAAAACGGAGCGGGGAATGTGCCTCGAGGCCCAGGAATGCAGGTACACTTACATCAGACCCACGCAGCGATGGACCCAAGTGTCCATACCCACAGGCATGAATTGGTACAGGTTTAATGACCATAAAAAGACGGCCAGGTCACTTAGGAAGCGGAACCTCTGGTTCAATAGACCTATTTTTAAAATATAGACAATGTTGAAAACTACATGTAATTGTGTTACGAGTCACAACCTTTACAAAAGACACCCTGTTCAAGTTATCCCCGCAACCACAAAAAGGGGGAAAAGATTAAATAAAAATACGCATTATCGGCGGAAAAATACTTCATTACCACCCCCACCCTTTTTTAAACTGGTTTCTCGCTTGTTCTCAATAGGTAAGGAAAAGTGTCTACAAGTACAAGTCTCTCTGTGTAAACGTCTCAAGACTACTGCAAGCATAATTCGCGGATATCCAGGTAACTCTTCAAAAATCTTTATTTTTTAAAATATCATTTTATAAATGTCGCCTCATTAAATAATAGAGGCATTCGAACTATCAAAGTAATTCCATGTTACGAGAAAGAAAGACTGCTACATAGAACAACAGAGAAAGAAGACGCAACGAAAAAAAAAGTAGAACCTAACAGTTGCACCCTCCAACCACCTACAACTTGAGCCTTGAGAACAGAAAAATTCGAAAACACACACACACAGGACCTCTGAAATCTGAATATTAACAGGTCTCGAAACATAATGATTTTGCAAACAAAAAGTGTTAATATGGTGGGCCTCACATCAACACTTCTGTTTGCTATCGAACCTTCCACAAAAGAAAAGACAAAAGTAACCATTACTGTATAATCCCCCCACACCACAATAATATAAACAAAACCCACAAGGTCACTATGGGACCTCACGAACAAGTCGAGCACTGTAACTGATCATAAGCGCAGTTTGGTTTTCAAGATACACGACACTAAACTGGGCTTCTTTGGTTGAGGTATACATGAAGCCAGTCGCGTCTCTTCTACCTCAGCTAATCATTGCACCATTCTTTAGGCCTATAATAAAGGGACCAGAAAGAAGGTGTTCTGATACTGAGAGTGAGGGCGAGATAGAGGGGGAGGAAAAGAACAGACAGACAAGTAAATGTGATTAAATGATGTTTGGCACTCAAATTTCCAGTTGGCCCAGGTAATGACAAATTCAAATACTCGCAACAGCCGAGTTGGAATTAAAAATGTGCATAATATATTGTGACAGAGATATATGACACCAGACTGATACATGTACAAGGTTCGTGTAGGCTGTTGTTTTTCTCTCCTCGAGTTGAACACCTGTTTGGACACTGAATTTTATTCCTTTCTTAGGACAGCAACGACGCTGCTAGACCTACATACCACATTGAGCAGTGCTTTACGCTTTCGATATTAAATGAACTTTAAGAATGTTTCGAACTGAGACCACATTAAAAAGTGACCCAAAACCTCCATCCACGTACCCGGACTTCTATATTATTCAAAATCTACATTAGAGGGTTACAAAACAAAGGGCAACGGGTGTGGTTGGATGCGTATGCGTGCACTCTGCCGCCTCTTGCGACAATCGATGCAGCGAATTATTTAAGTGAATGTTTCATGAAGCAGACATTCAACAAAAGAAATTGTGCGTGAAAGTGGGCGAGTCTGGCGTGTGAGTGTATGTGGGGTGGTGGGGAAGAGGAGGAAATCTCTCTCTCTCTCTCTCTCTCTCTCTCTCTCTCTCTCTCTCTCAACTCATCTGTGTCACTACTGAGTCACCCCACGGGACGAAACTGCAGTCCAGCTGTAAAGCGATGACTAATGCGGAAGAGCGGGGGACGGCGCGGAGAACGCCCGCCCACGATCGAACAGGGGAGATAAGCTCTTCAAATGCAACCAAACTACGCGCTGCACGCTTGCCCCTCCTTATTAACTTATATACTGTCATAATATCTATTCAGTATCGACTTCCTGCAGTATTTGTATTATAATATATAAGAGTGACGCACGATTGCACTTTTTTTTGTTATGATACAAATCTCTTTCTATTTTGAAATGTTCATGTAATTTTATCGCAGTAAATACCACCAGTGTATGACCAAGGGGAATCTTTTTTTTTAATCCAGAGAAATCCTGGGGATTAACTTTCACGCCTATGAACAACATTTGGCTTGGTTGGAGTGGGAAGGGCGGGGTGGAGGGGAGAGGGCCTTAGAAGACCTTATGTTTCAAGAAGAATTAACTACAATTGTAACCTGTATAAAGGATGGGTAGTTGGATTTTCACAATTCCTTTCGAAGGAAGGTATTATGTTGTTATTCCTTATGGACACTTGAGTTTGGGGATAAAGGATTGGCTCCTAAAGTTTTATTTATACAGACAGCTGTTTATATCCTAAAAATGCCGTCTCCTAAAATTTCTTTTAGAGATGAAACTCACAATACATAATGCGCTTGACTGTTGTGGAAAACACATTTTTAGGCGTCGAGGGGAGGGGGCTGCAGGCCTAGTACAGAAGACGTCATAACAGTCATATTTGAAGTTGAGTTTTGTAAGTCTAATGGGACTCTCAGTTCTAATCTGCCCAATGCCAACCAATATCTTTGGATGTGATAGTAAGCTCCTCCAAAAGGATATTAGCGGAGTGAACACAGACCTTTATACAGATTGTCCAATGATTACCAAAGCCAAGCGTACTTTCTTTTTGTCAAAATTTGAAAATGTTAAAACTTGTAAGGAACTTTTTGATGTCTCTAGTGAACTGCTTGGCAACCAAAACAGAACAATATTACCCCCTGGCACCGATAGAGATCTTTGTAGTTGTTCTTCAGACTTTTTTTCTTTAAAAAAAATCACCTCCATCAGGCAAGAGCTCGATAAAATGTGCGCAATTGCCCCAAATTACCATCAGTTTAAGGGGCTAGTCATCGATTATTTTACTCCAGCAACGGAAGAAGAAATCAAAAAGATCATATTCGATAGTCCATCAAAAAGTTGCGCCTTAGACCCCATGCCCACCAGCCTTCTAAAAAAATGTTTGCATGAACTTCTTCCACATATCACCCAAATTGTAAATGATTCTCTCCTCACAGGCACAGTACCAAATTGCTTTAAGACAGAACATATTAGACTCCTTTTGAAAAAATCTGGACTTGATGAAAAGGACTTAAAAATTTTTAGACCAGTTTCAAATCTTTCTTTCCTTTCCAAAATTCTGGAAAAAGGTGTATCTAATAGACTGTTACATCATATTAAAGCAAATAATCTTAGCGAAGTCTATCAGTCAGCATATAAGGCACACCATAGTACAGAGACAGCGTTACTTAGGGTCTGTACTGATATTTTAAAATATATTGATAAAAAAAAGGTATGTCTTCTTACTCTTTTGGACCTTTCGGCTGCATTCGATACCATTGATCATGACATTTTACTCGAGAGATTAAATACTACTTTTGGCATAAAGGGTACTGTCCTGCGATGGTTTGAGTCATATTTTAAGGATCGAACACAAGCAGTTGTGGTTGGAAGCACGTGTTCTAATAACGTTTTGCTTAGATGTGGTGTTCCTCAGGGGTCTGTTCTTGGACCTGTCTTGTTTACAATGCATACAACCTATTGCTGATATTTTAAGACAATATGGCATGAATTACCATCTTTATGCTGATGACACTCAAATTTATAAGTCTATTGATTTCGATCAAATACCACTTTTAGTCGACTCTACTGAACAATGTACTAGTACTAGAGATTTAAAAATATGGATGACCAGCAATAAATTGAAACTAAATGATGACAAGACGGAAATAATGTTGAGTGGAAATACAAAAGCCATTAAAAATCTCCCAGAGCTACAAATTGATATTACTAACCATACTATTCGTTCAAAAAGAAGTCTTAAAAATCTAGGGGTTCAGTTGGATTATGATATGTCTATGTCCTCCCAAATTAGCCAGCTCAGCAAAAGTATTTACTTTCAGCTTAAGAAAATTGGCAGTGTAAGAAATTATTTAACTAAAGCAGCAGCCAAGACACTTGTAACAACACACATTTTATCAAAGTTAGATTACTGTAATGTTATTTTGTCCGGTTTGACATCCGAAAAACTATCAAAGTTACAAGTACTCCAAAATCAAGCAGCAAAATTGATAATGAAACAAAAGAAATCAGCGCACGTAACACCAATTCTGAAAGAACTACACTGGCTGCCAATAAAAGAAAGGACCAAATACAAAACTGCCGTTCTCTGTTTTAAATGTATAAATGATAGTGCACCTTTTAATCTTAAAACATTCCTGGAATTATATCATCCACCTAGACTAGAGCCCTTAGATCAGCCTCTGATAATCTAATTCTTAAAACTCCAAAACAAAATTACAAAACATACGGCAAGCGTTCCTTTTTGGTCTTTGGTCCCCAGGTATGGAACGAACTCCCATATAAAATAAGATCTGCCCCAACAATTTCCATTTTCAAGAATCAGCTGAAGCATTTTTTATTCACAAAAGCATACCTGTCATAATGATGTACTGTGATATATATGCATGTGTATGCCAGACTGTGAGACTGAAGAAATAGCGAGTGAGAATGAGAGAGAGAGAAAAAGAGAGAGAGAGAAAAAGGGAGAGAGAGACAGAGAGAGATAGAGAGATATAGAGAGAGGAGAGAGAGAGAGAGAGAGAGAGAGAGAGAGAGAGAGAGAGAGAGAGAGAGAACGGAAATGTTTTTCTATCTGTATAGAATTAATGTTTTAATGAATGTTTCTAGTTACTCACGTTTCAACTTTATTTTGACCCTCCGTAAATTTTTTTTGCATTGTATATTTTTCGTGAACACATTTTCAACCTCACTGCAAGACTGTTTTTCTCGTATAAAATTTTACACATATGCATTTATATTATATGTATAATACTTTGTTTTACGTACACACTTGTCGATTAATTTTTAAGATGTGATGTCTTTTTCATTGTAATGCGCATTGAGCATCTTTTAGGAAATGGAAATGCGCAGTATAAATGCTATTTGTTGTTGTTGTTGTTAGAGGGGACCCATACCTTTACTAAATGTACTTATCCAATAGAGGGGGGACCCATACAGAATGACAATAAACCATTATGTTTCATTGGGGTATAAACTGATGTTCTCCAATTCCAAATTCACATAAAAGACGTATGACTGATTGAAAGTGTATAATCAGTGTTATCTCCAAAACACGAAAATTTAGGATAAAGACATGCACCATTGTAAAGAAAAGACAGGAAAAATTTGAACACACTTTCTCACGATACTTGTCTCAATCAATCAAATAAAACAGAGCAGTCACTCACAACAAGTCCCAGCATAAAGCAAGGACGGGGGGTGGGAGGGGGGGAGGTCTTGGAACTTGTTGGGTTAGTGATGGAATACCATGAAAATATAACTCATAAACGGATGGAATACCTCACCTCCTGATTGTAACA